ATTTTGTACAATTGTCTTCTCGTAATCGCGTCTTCTGGTCACGTTCCCGCCACTTCTCCAATTCTGCTCAAACAAACCGACGTTGTCTGGTTCAGTACGGGCAATATGGTGTAGTGGTCACCGCCTCATCTCGATTGGTCACCCCCCTTGGCTATGAAGGATGAGGTTCTTGGTTCGGATCCAAGGTTGTCCTTAGACCAAAAGTTCTCCTCATTTGGTTTTTCCTTCGGAGACCATACGTCTTTCGATTTTCTGGCGGAAGACTTTCTTTGTTGGCCAAGAAGCCCGGATCTGTTTCCCAATCACGGCAGTGTGGTGCAGTGGTTAGTACCCTCTTTGCGGCTGATGCCTCCAAGGAGCCCTTGGTTCGACTCCAAGACTGCCAATGGTTTCAGTCCTACTATGTTCAATCTTTTTCTCTGCCGCTCGGAGGTGACATAGTTCTGGTACTTCACATTTTTCCGGCGGAAGGTTGTTCTTTGTCAGTTAACAGGATCACATCGACATCCCAATCATGGCAGTATGGTGCAGTGGTTAGCACCCTCCTTGTGGCTGACGCCTCCAAGGAGTCCTTGGTTCGACTCCAAGACTGCCAATAGGTTGAGGTCCTACTATGTTCACCTTTTTCTTCCGAGGGTTAAAAGAACCCTTTTCAATTTTCTACTGTCCGTGGGAGGTTGCTTCTCACTCAACCCCTCCACCATTTATTTGGCTAAGAGGCCCGCATTCACCCCTCCATCATGGGCAGTTTGGCACAGTGGTTAGTGCCCTGTCTCTAGCGTACTGCGCCATGAGATAGTGCCTGGTTCGAATCCAGGGCTGCCCCCTTCGGTCTGTGAAGAAATTGTAGCTTTTTGATTCACCGGAAAAGGGAAGATATTTAGTCACGTGACAAACTTTTGCCACAGACCCCTTTTGGTAATCGAAATAAAAGCTACTTCCTCGTTCAACACGGTAGTACGGCGCAGTGGTAAAGCCATCTTTCGAGGGTGTAAACTCCTCGCAAGAGTCCTTGGTTCGAGTCCAAGTACTGCTCATACGCAATCTCTTCGGTGCCCTTTTTATCCTTCTGACTCTTTCTCTTCCTTCGGTTGCCACAGCTGCGGCTGCTGGTCAACCTAAAGGCAAACCCCCCTACCCATCACGGTAGTTTGGCATAGCGGTCATGCCCTCTTGCGGGTTTCTTACAACTAGCAAGAGCCTCCTGGTTCGAATCCAGGGCTACTCAATGTAGGTTTTCTGGAGACGGTTTTTCTTCGCGGGGTTCCGACGGATTTTCCGTTTTTCGTTGGACACCAACCGGTCTTAAATTATCCCAATCTGGCGGAAGTTTTGTTACGGTGGCATAAACTTGCCACTGTAAACTTCGCTTGGCCAAACTAAAGGTAACCTCGTTACAGATCATGGTAGGATGGCATAGTGGTAATGCCCTCTTGCAAGTTTCCCATAACTCTATAACTTGCAAGAGTCCCTGGTTCAAATCCTGGCCTACGCAATGGTATTCCTAGATTTGATGGTTTTTATCTGTCGTGTTTCTTTGAGTCTTATTTTTCCGTGGGCGTCTCATTTCAGTCTTAAAGTTCTTCCTTTCCGCCGGAAGATTTTGTTCCGGTGGCAAAAGCTTTCCACAGCCAATTACGCTCGACCAAAAGGAAGATAACCTGGATTTCAGCCACGGTAGGATGGCATAGTGGCAATGCTCTCTTGCAGGTTTCTTACAACTAGCAAGAGCCTCCTGGTTCGAATCCAGGGCTACTCAATGGAGGTTCTGGGAAATTGCTTTTTCTTTAAATTTTGGATCCATCTTCAGTTCCATATCATGTTGTTCTCATTTACAGGAGACTCTCAGTCTGGTACGGCAGTTTGGTAGAATGGCTACCAGGGCTAGTGGTAGTTGTCCTACTCCTAGAC